TGCGTTGTTGAAGTCAAAAGCCATCTAAGAAGCTGCAACCTTTCACGTACAAAGGTTACAGAATATGACCTCATTTTGGCAAGGGCGGGAAAGTTTACTCTTTTGCATGAGGAAGTAAAAAAGATGGTGGTTTGCCATGCCCATAGGCACAACCTCGGTATATACTGGTGGCCACGTAAAAGCTGTCAGTATCCTGGCCATGAAGGAAAAAAGATTGCTCTCCATTGTAAAAACCCAATTAACTGGCAAATGGCACAAGAGATACGCAAGATGTTTGTTACCCTTGTTCAAGTGGGGTCACGTAAGTATTTTTCAATTGTTTTGTTTGAACTCCTGTAGGCATTTTTTATTAAAAAGAAGTGATTGAGCATAAATAAATGGGGGGAAAGGGTAAATTAAGTATAAGGGACATTCACATTTGCTTCGTTTTGTACAAGTCGGTAGAGGAGTTGCGTGTCATGCAATGTTTATTGCAAAATGACTATTCCACAGGCTTTAAAGCAGTTTGCTTAACATTCCTAAAACATAATATATACATATCAAAGAAACGTGTACAGAACAAAAAAATAGGTCGTTTCTTAGAAAATAGAATTTTTTCATAAATGGAACTGGCTTATGTAAGAGCTTATTTGCATTTTTTCATGTCTAGGTTTTATTTGCTGTAGTAATTCAATTAACATTCTGTGGATATGTTAAAAGCAAATCAAGAGCCTGAATATCTGCCAGGCTTGATGTTTTAAATTATGATTCACTTTATTGCAATTGTGAAAATTCCGTTTTATTTGTTTGGTGTGAAAAATATACAACTGCACTTATAAGTAGGCAGGCCGATCATATAAAACTTCTCAGTTAAAGAAACGCTCTTTATTTGAACCATGTGGTAGACTCTACTTTTCGCAGGTGTGAAAACGTGTTGTATTTATTTAGGCTCTTTCCCGTACCAAGAAGATTATATAATTATCAGGGTGTCAAAAGGCACTTAACCAGCCTTCTTGCAGAGTTCAACATTGTTCCAACATTGAAGATTTTCAGATTCGTCCCATTTAATGAACTAGCCAGACCACTAAGCGCAATTATGATTTTTGCACAAAGTAAAAAAAAAAACACTATCTGCCAAATCACCTACTTGCATTTTGAAGGCGACCTCAAGTGAGGGACTAAATGTTTCAATTTGTTGAAATGTTTTCTACAGCAAAGAAAGTTTGCTAAAAACCCGCAGTACATAACAGCTTGGACAGCAGGGGAGTGAGGGGGTAAAGAGGGCGTTCCCTATCACATGCTAGAGCTAGTTCAGTCACCCCCGCTAACTTTGTGACCCTGCTGTGGCGTGACTGACGTCCCATGAAATAAACTGTGGGAAATTAATCTTACCTTCGGCTCACCATAACTACACGTCTTTGTCAACAGCGATTTGTTCTTAGTGCCGAAAAAGTCATGTTCAGGCAGTTCAAGGACAACTGCAAGTCGAAATCTTGGAGTGCAAAGAAGAAACAACTTACAGGTAATATTATTATTAGACCATGAAGGTTCGTTTCTCGCTGAGCCCGAACATCACACTAAGAAAGAAAAGATGAGGAAAAATAAAGAGAGTGAGGAGAAAGAAAGAGGCGAAGTGCAAAAAAGCGATGATTACACTTTTAGTTTTTTTATATCGGCCTTTTGGAGCTTTTAAAGGAAAAAAAACACTCTGACGGAAAATGTCTATTTCAGCAGTAACGTTTTCAAAAACCCAGCTAGGAGATATATTACATATTTATAATTATTTAGTATATATTTCATTTTAATATTTCACATTCATAGGACCTCAAAAGCGCAAGCACTTCAGAACATGATGACAGTGTTACCAACTCCTAAGAGTGAGCGCTTACAAAAAAATCTAGAATCGGACTGGACACCAGGATCGTACATCTCCCAGGAGGAAGTCAGCTTTGATACACCACCTCAACCTGATGAGGCACTTATGAAAATAAATGAAGGATTAGAAAAAATAGAAAAATGCTGTGAGAAAAGGAGAAGCAGCCCCTTGTCGAGTTTGATGGAGACAACATAGGAGAGAGCGGGCGAAGAAGAAAAAACTCAGTTTGTGAGAAAAGCGACAGAAGCCTGTAAGATGGTCTGTTCAGCTATTGCACCAGAAGCCGCGGATAAACTGTTTAGATCTGTTTGTAAAAAGGAAGACCCCGATATTGAAAATGAGCTTAAACCACTCCTACAAGCATACAAGACTGCGCCTACTAAAGACTCGAAAACTCAAATTCTGAGTATCTATGCAAACAACTGTCCTGAGAAGAAGCTCATAGAAATGGACAAATTTTACGAACCACTAACAGAATGGGAACTTCGCAAGGCAAAAATTCACGCCAATCACAACGGTCCCGGTGCCCCATTAGAAAAGCCAGTTTACCATCGGGTCAAGCTTGATTCAGTGAAAGTCACGCATTTATTGGAATTCATAAACAGACCATATCTCCATCAGGACATGGCGTACGGAACGTGCACA